GAGACCACAGCGGTGGATGCGGCGGCAGTGGGAACCGCAACAGTGGGAACTGCATTAGCAGCAGATGAACAAGCAGTGACAGGACAAGCGCGATGTGGGGATAAAGAAGAAAGTGGGTGATGCAAGGACCATCGCAGCATGCGTCGGAACCACTGAGAGAGACGGGTGACGTGTGTAGGATAGCGACGTTGGCGGGAGCGTGTGTAGCAGGTCCATCCCTTAGCGAGGGTTGGTGGGGAATGGCCACGAGAAAGCATGCGACGAGTATATCGTCAAACAGAGCTGCCGGGTAAACTGTAGGCAGACAGGGAGAAGAGGACAACAAACGAGGGGCTGTGACAAACTGTTTCGTCGGAGTGTATATCGTCATAGAGTCATTGAGAACTGCCTGGTGAACCGACTCATCAGGAGTCTGAACCCTCTAGAGTCTGCAGAAAGGGAGTAAGGAACAAGATACAAGGGGCTGTGACAGACTGTTTCGTCGGAGCTTCACCGACTCATCAGGGGTCTGAACCCTCTAGAGTCTGCAGAGTCCCCTAACCAATGATACTGTAAGCCGTATTCCACCTTGACCCCGGTTGTGGTTGAGCATCGACGACTGCCCCACAACTGATACCCTGAGGCGGGCATCAGCCCCTGCCCTCCTCAAGGGTACCTGTGGCGTAAATCAAAGCCGGTGATCATTCACCCACACCGGACTGAGGACTCTTCAGACCTCAGGTTCAGATTATATCATGAGCATGACAGCCATCTTCGTTCAGATACCATCAAAGCCGGCGTATGAGGAACCCCCCACGGAACAAAGAAAGGTCCGTCACACTCAGTCACAGCCAGAAAATATACTCCACAGTGTCCACATACCCTGCTGGGCACAGCATGACCGCGTTGTGACAGCCCGGGCCACACCGCCATTCAACCTGACCGGCGAGAAATTCGTAACAGGGAGCTAGCAAAGTCCCGTTTATAAATAACTTTATAATAGGTTATATATTATATGTCATGAATGCTGTGCTGCTGATGTGCGGAAACGAGACTCAAAAGACTGAAAAGGAGAAATCCCTTTATGTTGTGTTGTCATAACTGGAAGCATCGGCGAAGAATCTGCATCAAGCTGGCACAAATACGAGGTGGAGCTTGAGGCACTGGGCAGCGATCCTAATGGACGGCTTGCGGTCACGACACAGCATAAACGAACATTTTGGCTGGATCAAGTCTCATTGAAGCCTTCAGAAACATTCAAGGTATTAAATTACTATGATATGATGATTGTTTTTTTGTCTACTAGGACCAAAATATATCCTGTCCATAGATAACGAAGATCAGCCAAAAACAATAACAAAAAAAGAAAAGATAAGGAAAAAAAAAAAGGGTCAATGACAGCCAGTAGTCTCTTAAAAGTCCCCGTGCGAGTGGTACCTCGCCCCTGGGGTACCTACCCAACTGGCTACCTAGTCCATTCCTGCCTCTCTCTACTTCCCATCACCCTCTATCTACTTCCATCCCTCCCTACCTCTCTGCAGAGTCTGCACTCATGGCTGTCTATCTTCGTTACCTACGGACAGTAGCTCTTAAGCCACCAGTACTTCCAAGGCACTTTTCTCCGGGGCTGGAAACGTGCTGCCCGCCCAAAAAAAATAAAAGAACCGTTGCGTCCCTCCTCTTGGCTGGCCCCACCAGCCATTTTGCTCCGGCACCCGAGCCCCGAAATTTGCAGCAGCACGCAAGCCGCAACCTTGAAAAAATGGCTGGGAAAGGTACTGGTGGTTTAATCCATGCTTACATCCGTGCTTGCAGCCTTCGTCGCTCCCTACCTTCTTACTCCCTACCTCTCTGCACTCCTGGCCGTCGATCGTTGTTATCTGTACAGACAGAGTATCTCGTAATCCATACTTACCTCCGCACTTGCACGCTGTCCTCGCTCCCTTCCTACTTAACCACCTACCCCTTTCAACTGTTTTTTTTTTTTTTTTTTCCCAACTGTATTTCCTCTCCCTATGCCTGTATTCCCTGCATATGAAAATGAAAACGAAAATTGCAGATTTTTTCAGTAAAAAGCTGGGCAGAGATGTAAATATACTAAACAGATTGCTGGTCTGTGGCTGCAAAATGATGAACCGTCAAGAAGTGTTTTTTTTTTTTTTTTTTAAGGTTATTTAGCTCAACTTAGTTGTCCATGACGATCTACAGGTTCGCGGAAAATAAAATAAAATTTAAAGAAACACTTCTTTTACTGGTCAGCTTATTCTTCAGTGAATGAAGCACTTCAAGAAGATTTCGCAATCAGCTGCCCTTGAAGACTTCTGCAGTTTTCCTCACTCAACTGTGTTGAGGAAGAGAAAAGGGGAATGTTTAAACTTAAAACTTTAAAGGTGTTTTTTTTTTTTTTTTTTTTTTTGGTTGAAGGAAAAACATGGCCTTATGGCCATAGCTTTCCAGTCTAGTTTGGGAAGTGCCCTTGATGTTACTATCCAAACGAACAGATATTGGGCTTTGCTCCAATACTCAACATTCTAATTTCTACATGAATTTGGACGCCTTTCTGGACAAGGTGCATTCAGAGGAGTCCAACAGTTTGAATGTATTGGGATGATTATTAGGTACAGATGCATATATAATGTTCTGTCGTGGAGTGAGACCCATTGCTTCAGAAGATAAGAGGCTAATTTGGAGTGAGATAGGGGTAGCAAGAGTTGCTTTTCAAAATTTTGTTTTTTTCTGTCATTTGTTTTTTATTTTGAAGCAAGACTTACCCAATCTATTCGTGGAGAGCAGACCTGCTGGAATACGACATAGTCCAGCAGCACCCCATTTTCATGAGTGTTAATCGCAAGAGGGACATGACTTGAACATAAGCTATAAAGCGAATGTAAGAGAATAAAAAGAAATAGCTTCTCGCTGTTGGTAGACCAGTCTATATCTCTCAGGTGCTAATGTGTACGCAGATGTGCCTCAACCTCCTGTTGCCACCGATGCCATGCTGTCGAACAAACCTGGATTTCAGGTGCTAATGTGTACGCAGATGTGCCTCAACCTCCTGTTGCCACCGATGCCATACTGTCGAACAAACCTGGATTCATGCAAACTTTGTGTGTGTGTGTGTGTGTGTGTGTGAGAGAGAGAGAGAGAGAGAGAGAGAGAGAGAGAGAGAGAGAGAGAGAG